CTTTGGAAAGGAGGAGTGACAGCTAGTTAGAAGGGAAAATAGAGAGCCTATAGATAGAGAGACTCTGGGGAGGAGGGGGAGAAGGTGAGCGGTACATGGGCGGAGCAAAACCCCAAGGCTGGAATCAAAGGTGGGACTTCTTCCACAAATGATTCATAGGCAAATAAGAGGCCTAATGGGGGGGTGGGGGGGATGGGAGGGGAGGGGGCTGGAGGAGGGATGGGATTGGGTTGGGATATGGGAGGTGGGGGGTAGAGGGAGGGTGGTATTAGGGGTAACACTCTACAGGATAAAAGGAGTTGGGAGAGGAGTGGAAGAAGAAAGAAGGAGTTAAGAGGAGTAGGGTAATATGGAAGAAGTCCAGTTTTAACTTATAATGTAAAGGGGTTGTGCGGTTCTGGGAAGAGATTTAGGATGTTTAAAGAATTGCAACACAGAACATTTTTGGTGGTTGTCTTGCAGGAGACATACTTAGAGATTGAGTCAAATGTTAGGCTGAAGACTAGATATTTCCCGGTATGGTATTATGCGGATTCACCATTAAAAGAGCAAAAGGGGTAGCTATTGGCTTTGCAAAGAATATAAGGTTTGAGTTGGAGAAGAGAATAACGGATCCTGATGGAAGGTTCTTGTTTTTTGAGGGGTAAATTGCAAGAAATTGAGTGTACAATAGCCAGTATATATTGCCCAAATAAGAAACCGGAGATATTTTTGAGGGGAGTATTGAAGAAGCTGATGGATTTTAAAAGGGGCCATCTGATAGTGGCTGGAGACTTTAATGTTTGTATGGACCCGCGGATGGATACTACTTCTTCTGTGAGGAAGGAGGAAAGCGGGTCCCTGAGATCATTAAAGAAACTGATGCATGAATGCCAATTAGTGGATATATGAAGAATCGGGCATATGAAAGATAGAGCCTATACTTTTTTTCTCACACGTACATGAGACTTACTCTAGATTGGATTATATACTGGTAGAACATCGATTTATAGAGTTTGTAGTAGAAGTAAAAATTTAAGTAAGTTCTTTATCAGATCATGCCCCGGTTGCAATGAAGTCAAGATGGGGCAGAGAGGAGAAAGGAGTTTTAGTTTGGAGGATGAATGAAGCACTCCTTCTGGATCAAGAGATCGAACGCAAGATTGAGATGGAAATTAAACGATTTTTTGAGGAGAATGACACAAAGGATGTGTCCGTTGCTACGGTGTGGGAGGCCCATAAAGCATACATTAGAGGACTACTTATTGCAATAGGGGCAAAAAAGAAAAAAGAAAGGAGGGAAAAGATCAATGGACTTCCAAGCGAAATATTCGATCTTGAACAGGCTCATAAAAGGAAAATATCTAAGGAGATAATGCAGAAAATAATAAAAAAGAAAGAAGAATTAGAGAAAGTGATGGAAGAGGAAAAAAGAAGAGTCTTTAATAAAGTAATAAGTGAAAGGTATAAATGGGGGGATAGGCCGGGAAAGTATTTAATGAGAGCCCTAAGGAAAAAGAAAAATAGGAATTATATAGAAAAAATAAGAAACCCCAAGGGTGACTGGTTCACTCAACTAAAGACATTGCTAGAGTATTCAAGGAATATTATAGTAAGTTGTATAATATCATCCCCCAGGATACTTTAAATAAAGTTGAAATAGTAAATAGAGAAAAAAGAAGAACATACTTAAAAAATGCAGGTCTACCAAAATTGAGTGAAGTACAATTGAACTCCCTAGAATCAGAAATTACGTTAGAGGAAATAAAAACAGCATTAAAAAGTACCACGACTGGGAAAAGCCAGGGGCCAGATGGGTATACTGTAAAATATTATAAGAATTATAAAGAGTTGTTAATACCCAAATTGAAGATATATATGAATGCTCTGGGAGGTGAGTTGGAAATGAGGGGAGAATCTCTACAGGCTAATATAGTATTAATTCATAAGGAAGATAAGGATCCCTCTCAGTGTGCAAACTATAGACCAATTGCACTGTTGAATGTACATACTAAACTGTACGCAAAGGTTTTGGCAAATAGGCTGAAGGATTTGATGCCATACTGGATACATGGGGACCAGGTGAGTTTTGTCCCGGGGAGAGAGGGTAGAGACAACGGTATGAGACCATTGTTGCTCATTCAGGAAGGTAAAAAAGGGAAAACCCCGGAGGTGCTAATGTCAATTGACGCCGAGAAAGCATTTGATAGAGTGAATTGGGGATTTATGATGGACACCTTGGAAGCACTGGGGTTGGTAGACAGATTGAGAAAGTGGATTGGAAAGTTATATAGGAGACCTTCAGCAGCTATCATGGTTAAAGGAGGAAGGTCGGAGCTTTTCGGGATGTCAAATGGAACAAGACAGGACCACTGTCCCCATTGCTATATGTGCTGTCGTTGGAACCATTGCTATCTACAATAAGGAAGAACATAGATATAAAGGGAATATGGATAGGATATAGAGAACATAAGGTGGCGGCCTATGCGGATGACTTGATGTTCTATGTTGGAAATCCTAGGATATCACTTCCAAATTTAATGAGGACATTGAAGGAATATGGGGAATTATGAAATTTAAAAATTAACCCGACAAAAACTGAAATCTTAAATATAAATCTTAAAAACAGTGAAAAAGAAAAAATACAAGAGGAATTCCCCTTTGTTTGGAGAGAAAAAGAATTAAAGTATTTAGGAACAAAAATGTCCGCCTCAATTAAAAACATGTATAAATCCAATTATATCTCACTATTAAATGAGATTAAAGAGGAATTAAAGAGATTGGGAAGTGGAAATTCGTCTTGGATAGGTTGCATAAATCTAATAAAAATGGTAGTTGTTCCTAAAGTTTTATATAAATTCCAAATGATCCCAATTAAACTTCCAGAGGCATATTTTAAAGAACTCAAAAAAATGTTAACGAGATCTGGAGGAATAAAAAACCTAGAATATGCTATGAAATGCTGACTAGAAATAAAGAGAGAGGTGGTTTAGGTTTACCAGATTTTAAGAGATACTATAAAGCTGTAATAATTGCGAGAATTTTTGACTGGACTCAACCCAGGGAAAAGTTGGGTCAAAATAGAAAATACATTAAGTGGAACAAATTTAAGTAGGAATATATGGGTGCCAGCACAATATAGGGGATTAGATGTTAACACAAATTTGTACACTTTAAACGTTTTAAGAGTATGGGAAATATTACATAGACAAAAGGGTTGGGTTAATGTCACTAAGGAATACAGAATATTTTGCCCCAGGGAAGGAAGACATCACAGGGAAATGGTTTATAAAGCAGGATGCGCAATTGAGAGACATAATGGTGGGGGAAGAATTGGGATCATATAAGGAGTTGGAAAAGAAAAAAGGAGACGTTTTCAATAGAATGGATGGGTTACGATATCACCAATTGAAGCATTTTGTTGGGAGTCTCCCGAAGCCTTTGAGAGCTAGAAAGGATTGGAACCCATTTGAAAGGTTGTTGGAAGCACGGGGTGACGGGAAACATGGAGTAACTAAAATATATAAGATTTTCACTGAGTTAGACACTAGCACAAAACTAATATATATAGAGAAATGGGAGATTTGGGAAGGGAAATGGATGAGGAGACGCAGAAGAAAATATATAGATTAATTCACGAAAATGTTAGTATGAGAGAGGTTGAGTTAAATTATAAGTGTTTAGCAAGATGGCACATCACACCGAAAGTGGAGCACAAAATGATTTCACCAATGTGTTGGAGGGGGTGTGGAGAGATAGGCACATTATATCATATATGGTGGGAGTGTCCAAAAATACAAATATTTTGGCAGAAAATAATTTATTTAGTAGAGAAGATTACTGAAATTAATATTCATAGATCCAGAGCTATGTCTTTTCCATAATACAGAGCTTCCAGTGAAATTATATAAGGATTCGGGTATATGGTATTTTTTGAGCGCAGTGAAGAGCTTGATACCTAGGTTTTGGAAAAAAAAAAAAAGGAAGTACCGACAGAGGAGGACTGGATGGTTAGAGTGAATTAGATTTGTGGGACGGAAAGAATTTATTATATGCATATAGATAAGATGGAGTTATATAAAATGGAAAAAATGGGAAGATCATAGAGAGAAGGTGAAATATATGAAGATGTAATACCTACCCCTTTAGATGGATTTCAGATATATTTTGAATGTTTTATATAGTGAAGAAGAGGGAAAACGCAGAGTGGGGGGGGGGGGGGGGGAGGGGTTAGGGAGGCTGGGATGCGGGGGGGGAAATAAAGATTGTTTCTATCAGGTAGATAATTATGGTAGTAGAAAGATATTGTTTTGATGTCTTTTTAACTGGAGAAAGTGACTGTAATTTGTATTTGGTTGAAAATTAATAAATATTTATAAAAAGAAAAAAAACTAGTTCAGTCCCCCTCCAAACACCAGATGCTGTGACTGAGCCAATACAGCACCTAGTCTGTAAGTAGTGAAATTAACAAACAATGTGAAAGACAAAGTTCCCTTAAACACTAGGATTAGAGTCATGGAATCTATTCATAAAAAAAGCTGCAATGAATAATCCCCATAATGTGTTTAACCCGTTACCCTCCAGAGGATTTACCCCCCTTCCTGACCAGGCCATTTTTTTGCGATTCGGCGCTGCGTTACTGTAACTGACAATTGCGCGGTCATGCAATGCTACACCCAAATTAAATGTATGTTCTTTTTTCCCCACAAATAGAGCTTTCTTTTGGTAGTATTTGATCTCCTCTGCGGTTTTTATTTTTTGCGCTATAAACAAAAAAAGACCAACAATTTTGAGGGAAAAAACTATATTTTTGACTTTTTGGTATTAACCACGTTCAGTAAAAAAAATTAAAAAAACAAATTTCTTCATAAAGGTAGGCCAAAATGTATTCTGCTACATGTCTTTGCTAAAAAAAAATCCCAATATGTGTAAATAATTAGTTTACATGGAAAGTTATAGCGTCCACAAATGGCGGTATAGATACTGGATTTTTTTTTTTTTCATACTAGTAATGGCGGTGATCAGTGACTTATAGCAGGACTGCGGGATTGCAGCGGGCATTCCGACACTGCGGGGGGGAACTAACTGTCACTGACATCCGCAGTGACACCAATACAGTGATCAGTGCTAATAAAAAGAACTGACACTGTACTAATGACACTGGGCAGGAAGGGGTTAACATCGGGTGCGATCAAAGGGTTAACTGTGTGCTGTTTTACTGTGTGCTGTGTGTGTGTTTTACTGTCTACTCTGCAGCAGATGAATGCAGCAATGTACAGACGTCCTTGATGAAAACCTGTTCCAGATCGCTCTGGACCTTAGATTGGGGCGACGGTTCATCTTTCAACAGGACAACGACCCTAAGCACACAGCCCACATAACAGAGGAGTGGCTACGGGCCAACTCTGTGAATGTCTTGGAGTGGCCTAGCCAGAGCCCAGCCTTGAACCCGATTGAACATCTCTGGAGAGATCTGAAAATGGCTGTGCACCAACGCTCCCCATCCAATCTGATGGAGCTTGAGAGGTACTGCAAAGAAGAATTGGAGAAATGACCCAAAAATAGGTGTGCCAAGCTTGTAGCATCATACTCAAAACGACTTAAGGCTGTAATTGGTGCTAAAGGTGCTTCAACAAAGTATTGAGCAAAGGCTGTGAATACTTATGTACATGTGTCTTTTTTTCGTTTTTAATTTTTAATAAATTGCAAAGATTTCAAAACTAACTTTTTTCACGTTGTCATTATGGGGTACTGTTTGTAGAATGTTGAGGAAAAAATTAATTTAATCCAGTTTGGAATAAGGCTGTAACATAAAATGTGGCAAAAGTTAAGCGCTGTGAATACTTTCTGAATGCACTGTAGATACAAGCGACCTCAGGGATTTGAGAAGAGAGGACAGCAAAAGAAACACTTTGGGGTATATTTTTTATAAAGGCAAATAGACTGTGCATGTTGGAATTGCAGTTGTTCAAGAGCTTAGTAAATGGAAGCTCTGCTGACTTCCATCATCCAATCATGTGGTAGAAATAAAATGCAGTTTTTTCATCTTTCCTTGCATGTGATTGGCTATTCTTTCTAAAGTGAAGCTTCATCTCATTTACTAAGATCTGAAGAGCAACCGCACTTTCAAAGTGCACAGTCTATTTACCTTTAGTAGATCAACCCCACTGTATTAATGCAGTACTAATTTGCACTCATGTGAGGGCATTTTTATTGTTTTACACCTTAAAGCAGTGAATAGGACAGTATGTATGCAACCCAGGATCTTCAGATTAAAAAACCCTATTGCCTGTCTGTAATAAAAGGGGCAAAGGAGTGTGTGAGTGTGTTTCCAATCAAGGGTGGAAGAGTCCACATGTGGTGCTGCAGTTTGTTTAACCCCTTCACGCCAGCGCCTCCCGGCCCTTTAAGGGTTCCAGAAGCTGGGAGGCAGGGCGGGATTTAGGGTCATGTGACCGCCGTGACACACCGTCACGGCGGTCACATGATTGGTAAAGGTCTCGATCGAAAGAGGAGATCAGGACCTTTCCGTGAGTACCGGACATGTGTGCTGGGAGCGCACAGGGCGCATGCTCTCGGCACATATGTCCTTTTTTAATAGAACGCAAATGTGCGGCCTCTTGGCGTCTAGGCCCAGACGCCGGGAGGCCGCACATTTATATGCGGTTGGCATGAAGAGGTTAAGAAAATATTAACACTAAATGAAATAATTAACAATTATATTGGTGGAATGGATCACAAGCTGTTTTTGGATATAAGAGACTTTGGGGTTGATTTACTAAACTGGAGATTGTAAAATCTGGTGCAGCTCTGCATAGAAACCAATCAGCTTCCAGGTTTTATTGTCAGAGCTTAATAGAACAAACTGCAGTTAGAAGCTGATTGGCTACCATGAACAGCTGCACCAGATTTTTGCACTCTCCAGTTTTAGTATATCAACCCCATTATTTCATATGTGAGACAGACTGTAGGATGTATTGTTGAGTTTTGTATATCATTTTCCTAACAAGTTAGCAAAAGTAGTTACTGCCAGCAAGGAACAGCAAGCCAGGAGTCCAGTGCAAAAATTAGCTGACACCATTCCAGAGAAATTCAAAAAGGTAACACAATGAGAGACCAATACGTCAAGACCAGGGGCGCACTGACCATTTGGGTACTCAGGCACTGCCCGAGGGGCCCGGGGTCAATAGGGTGCCCCATGAGATGTTCCCGGTACCTTTCATAGGCTTTTTTGGGTGTGGTTTGAGTGTGGGTGAGGACACAGGGGCCCCATGATCCCCTATTGTCCGGGGCCCCATGAGTTGTCAATCCGCCCCTGGTCAAGACTCAAAACCAAATTTAAGAAAGTTAAAAAACACATAGACATGCTAAAGATTTTGCTAAGAAAAAATTATTAAATCATTTGAAAAAAGAAAATGCATGTAAAAATGTGTATCACTGTGTTTTAGCTTCTTAGCTCTAAGCTACTTTCTGCTATATGCATGTGAGTGATAATCATGGGCAGTCCTGACGCTGCATCTTTGCGTAGTAGGCAGGCTAAATATGCCAATGCACAGACAGCCTGTAGTTCAAGTGGGACCAACATCCAAGGGTCACAATATCGTTCCTGCATAGAGTTACACTCAATGGGGTTGACTTACTAAAACTGAAGAGTGCAAAATCTGGTACAGCTCTGCATAGAAACCAATCAGCTTCTAAGTTTTATTGTTAAAGCTCAAATCGGTGGTAAACCGCAGGAAAAAAAGTCCCCTGCGAAGTAATGTCATAATGTGCTAGTATGCATCACATGTTAGCACATTATGCAAAACTTACCTTCAAACGAAGCCCTCCAGCGGTGCACTGTCACCCCTGACAGGGCTTCCATCTTCACCTGGGTTCGCGAGCTCCGGCCGTCTGACAGGCTGGGCTGCAAGGATGTCACTCTCGAACATGTGTGCAGGAGTCCCGGGTATGTGCCGGCTTTAAAAAAAAGAGAGAATATCTCCTAAACTATGTACGTTTAGGAGATATTAATTTTACCTACAAGTAAGATTTATTGTAAGCTTACCTGTAGGTAAAAGTTAAAAAAACAGTCTACTACCACTTGAATTAACCACTTCAATCCAAACACTTTCACCCCCTTCCTGCCCAGGCCAATTTTCAGCTTTCAGCACTATCACACTTTGAATGACAATTGTGCGGTCATGCAACACTGTATCCATATGAATTTTTTCACATTTTTTTGAGACAGATAAAACTTTATTTTGGTGGTATTTATTCACCACTGAGATTTTAATATTTTTTGCTATATAAATGAAAATGTCCAAAAATTATGTTTTAAAATTTTGCAAATAAATAATCTTGCCCAAAATATATTCAGTTATCTTTATAACCCAAATTAGTTTATAAACAAAGATTATAATTTAAAAAAAAACATTTTTATACATTTTTATTGTTTTATTTTATTTTATTTTTTTTACATACAGTCACCCTAGGAGTACAGTGTCACCATAGTGACACTGTGCTACTTGTGGGGGGGTGATGAATATTTTTTTTTGTACACTGATTGCTTTTACACTCATAAAGGCTGTAAAAAAGCAATAATTTCTCCTTCTCTCTGGCTGCACTCTTGCAGCCATTGAGAAATACTAATTGGTCACAGCTTGTCACATGGTACAAGGCTGTTTTGAATAGCCTTGTACCATGTGACCTCTGTGATCATTCACAAATTTCACTAGTAGTAAGCAATGATGTCAGAAGTGATATCTTGCTTACTACTCTTCATTTGATCACTGATTGGCCAATCAGTAATCACATGATCGGGACCTCACACAGAGGTCCCATACAACGATCGGTGTTCCACTGTGTCTGGAGGACACAGCGGGCACCGAATCGCAGTGCTGCGTGCTTCCAGGGAGCACACACAAGCAGGGAGCGGGGAGGACATTTATAAACAGCCACCCGCCCCTACACTGCTCCTGTCCGGCCGTTTATATACATGGGCCGGATGGGAAGTGGTTAAACACGCTGAAGTTAGAAGCTGATTGGCTACCATGCAGAGCTGCACCAGAGTTTGCACTCTCTAGTTTTAGTAAAATCAACCCCAGTGAGTACTTTCACCCTAGAAAGTTACAGCAACAGCTAATATTGGCAATATCAAGGGATACAAATAATGGAAAAGGAAAATTTGACATAATAATAAATTCACTACACTAATGGAGGGTTAGCTACCATTTATTGGGGATTTAAGTACACTGTAAAGTGTATGTCGGGGCAGTAAAAAAAAACATGCAGTACATCTCTGGAATTCATGCACATTTCTCGTGTCTTATTTATTTAAAGTGGTAGTAAATTGCATTGAAAAAAAATTGAGTTACCCCACCCTTCCGAGCAGCAGAATGGGGAAGAAAGGGAATATGAGTGACTCTGAATGTGGCATGGTTGTTGGTGTCAGACAGGCTGAGTATTTCTAAAACTGCTGATCTACTGGGATTTTCAGGCACAACAACAAAGCCTTGTTGATGTCAGAGGTCAGAGGAGAATGGGCACACCGGTTCCAGATGATAGAAAGGCAACAGTAACTCAAATAACCACTCGTTACAACCAAGGTATGCAGAATACCATCTCTGAACACACAATACATTAAATCTTGAAGCAGATGGGCTACAGCAGCAGAAGACCACACCAGGTGCCACTCCTGTCAGCTAAGAACAGGAAACAATGGCTACAATTCGCATAGGCTCACCAAAATTGGATAATAGAAGATTGGAAAAAAGTTGCCTGATCTGATGAGTCTCGATTTTGGCTGCGACATTCAGATGGTAGGGTCAGAATTTGGCATAAACATGAAAGTATGGATCCATCTTGCCTTGTATCAACAGTTCATGGATGTGCAGCAGACAAATCTTCAGCAACTGCATGATGCTATCATGTTAATATGGACCAAAATCTCTGAGCAATGTTTCTAAAATCTTGTTGAATATATTCCACGAAGAATGAAGGCAGTTCTGAAGGCAAAAGGGGATCCAACCCAGTACTAGCAAGGTGTACCTAATAAAGTGGCCGGAGAGTGTAGATGTGTGTGCATAGGTATTGAATGAACATACATAGACCAGTGACAAGTCCATTTACAAATTACAAGGGAGTTCATCAAGATTGATAGAGATGGCAAACTACTCCTATAATATTCTACTCAACAGGCAGACGGTACCTATATAACTGTAAGGAGAAAAATGTTACTTGGTCAGATGTTCAGTTGTTTACTGTCCTGGGTAACGGAGGTTGTAGACACTGTAGCTTAATTGTAAATCTTAATTATTGCTTTCATGTTAGAAACTGTATATCAAGAAAAGATTTTTTGATTGCTCACACATC